GCTGATAATATTTTGTAATAAAATGGGTTGAAATAGGAAATGAGACGCTGGAGAGGCTGGGATCGATAGGGTTGTTGGCAAACTTCATGGTTTATCTAACCAAAGTGTTTCACTTAGAACAAGTCGACGCAGCAAATGTCATCAACATCTGGTCTGGTTTCACCAATCTCACTCCTCTCGTCGGAGCGTATATCTCAGACACTTACGTTGGCCGCTTCAAGACCATCGCTTTCGCCTCATTCGCCACTCTGCTAGTACGTATAATATTTATCTCTTAAATATTGAAAATTTTAGTCTAATCTTTTAATAAAAGAAAACTTTAGTCTAGTGTGTGTCTACAAAACACACACTTACGTACGTAGTACTAGTAGTATTTACTTTATATGTTCATAACACCTCAAATCCGCAACTATTCGCGGCCTAGTGCTTTAGCGTCCACTGTTTGAATAGTTCCATCCACCCAAAAACGTAACAACTCTAAATAGAAACTTATATTAATACTCACTCAATTTACGTGTTTTTGTGTGTGTGGCGAAGATACATGATACTTGGCACATAATTTCACCCGGCACGTGGACATGATCAGAAAATATGTAAAGACAAATTTGATTTAATATAGATATATATATATATATGTATATATATAAATATATATGATACAATATTAACACTTTATATAATATATTTCTACCTATTATGTTACTCTTTTTTATTTATTGATCAAAAGCTATTAAATTACTTTTGTATCTTACGAAAACGCATGAACTTATTATAGAGGGACCACGCTATCGTGGACGATAAGGTCGGTCTATAATGTGAATCATAAGAACAAAAGAATTTGATAGTACACTTATTGCTGTCGGTATTTACCTTGAACTCACTTTATATATCATCCAAAAAAATGGTAAGAGAACCATACTCACATAAACAGCTTTGGTTGATTGATGAAACATTTTCCAATAAAGGAGTTACGTATTATAACGTGCGTTCTGTTTTAGAGATAAAGAGATGTGCGAGGAAAAGGAAGAGATACGCAAGTGGTCGATATAGATTATGGACAATGAGATTGTCCAATAATTGAGTATTTGAGTTTCTTGATGATTTAGCTAGCTAGTTGAAAGAGGTTTTAGATTTGGTCAGTATCACAGTGACGTTACGTATATAATGATAGTTACTTTTTTAGTGTCTCTTTCATATATTCACATTATTATGATCGCATCCAACTTGTTGATTTCTCTATACACTTTTTTGTCTTTTTCGTAATTAATTACTTAAACGTTAATAAGGAACTTAAACTGTTACAACTGCTCATATTACTAAATTAGGGTTACAACAGAAATTAATGATATTAGGTTCGACGTCATTGTCAGTTTCACCTAATCAAGGCAACATCACTTTTCAATCATATGAAGTCAAACCTAATTAAGACTATTGTAAACATTATTAATTATTTCTTTGTATTTGATCGCATTCTTTCTGTCAGTTGCTTATCTCTTGTTTTATCTCTCTTCTCTCTTCTTTCTCTCAAATTTGTTTAGACCATTTTCTTCTTAATTATCCCCACACTATTGTTTGTCTTTTTTTGAAATATTAATTAACAATTATCCAATTCAACTTCAAGTTATAAAATCACTACCAATGAAGAATCGGTTACAAAATGAATAATGACTGATTATAATAACAATGACAACATGCAGGGACTAATAACAATTACACTCACAGCATCGCTTCCTCAACTCCACCCAGCATCATGCAACAGCCAGGACCCACTCAGTTGCGGCGGTCCGAATAAGCTCCAGTTCGGAGTTTTGCTATTGGGACTCTGTTTCCTCTCCGTAGGGAGTGGAGGAATACGACCATGTAGCATCCCTTTTGGGGTTGATCAGTTTGACCAACGAACTGAGGATGGGGCTAAAGGAGTGGCCAGTTTCTTCAACTGGTATTACCTGACTTTCACTGTGGTTCTGATCATTACACAGACCGTAATTGTGTATATCCAGGACCAAGTCAGTTGGATCATCGGTTTTAGTATCCCTACCGGACTCATGGCTCTTGCGGTGGTTATGTTTTTTGCCGGAATGAAGCGTTATGTCTACGTTAAACCTGAAGGGAGTATATTCTCTGGGATCGCTCAAGTTATCGTGGCAGCTCGTAAGAAGCGAAAGCTGAAAGTCCCTGCAGAAGATGATGGCACTGTGAACTATTACGACCCAGCCATAAAATCTAGCGTGTTGTCCAAGTTACACCGCAGTAACCAATTCAGGTACTTTAATTTATATACGTTTTTTTTCCTTATTACATTCGAGGACATTTTTATTATGTGCAACAGAATCACCGAATATGGCCCTGAGTTTTTAGTACATGATCTAGAAATAGTTTGAGACAACACTGATTACATCATTTTGTTTTAATCTATAGTCTAACTGAAATTGCATAATATGATAGGTTTCTTGACAAAGCCGCGGTGATTATAGAAGGTGATCTAACACCCGAGGGAGCTCCCGCGGACAAGTGGCGGTTATGCAGCGTCCAAGAAGTGGAAGAAGTGAAGTGTTTGATCCGAATTGTTCCTGTTTGGTCGGCCGGAATAATCTCACTCGCGGCCATGACAACACAAGGCACTTTCACAGTCTCTCAAGCTTTGAAAATGGAACGACACTTAGGTCCTCATTTCGAGATTCCAGCTGGTTCACTCTCCGTTATCTCTCTCCTCACAATCGGCATCTTTCTACCCTTTTACGACCGCGTTTTTGTCCCATTCATGCGGCGAATCACTGGCCATAAATCCGGAATCACACTCCTCCAACGGATAGGAACAGGGATCATTTTCGCGATCTTTTCTATGATCGTTGCGGGCATTGTGGAGCGCATGAGACGCATACGCTCCATCAATGCTGGAGATCCAACCGGAATGACTCCAATGTCAGTGTTTTGGCTTTCACCGCAGCTAATTCTAATGGGACTATGTGAAGCATTCAATATTATCGGACAAATAGAGTTCTTCAACAGTCAGTTTCCGGAGCACATGAGAAGCATTGCTAATTCTCTCTTCTCTTTATCGTTCGCCGGTTCGAGCTACCTTAGTAGTTTGCTTGTGACTGTCGTTCATAAATTCTCTGGTGGGCATGATCGTCCGGATTGGCTAAACAAGAATCTCAACGCGGGAAAATTAGATTACTTCTATTATCTGATTGCGATTATGGGTGTGGTTAATCTGGTTTACTTTTGGTATTGTGCTCGGGGGTACCGGTACAAGGTCGGTTTACAGATTGAAGACTTTGAGGAGGACAAGTCCTCCGATGATGTTGAGATGACTTCAAAGAAATCGATGAAATGATTTAGTAGACTGGCCTTAGGAACAACAAGAAAATTATCGAGGTTGTTTGAATGGTTACTATGACAATGTATATCTATCATAATATATAAGAACTAGAATATATAATAAAACTTTACTTTTCATTATGTACAAGTATATTAGATAGTTCGGCGTTTTACAAGTTGCTTTGTCGTCTTTTATAACTCAACTGGATCGGAAGAACTTCAAAATCGTAATAACTTTATCTAACTACATTAGCTTTGGTATTGGCGTCGAGTTGATTGACCGAAAATGTGTTTTTTATTTACGTTTCTATGTTTTTATCTTTCGATTCCATTGCATAAGTATATGGTCTTTGATTATATTCCTAAAAATATTTCATTTTTACCTTCTTAGCATAAAAAAAAAAAAGTACTAGATAGTTTACAGTTTTGTCTAGTTTTTTTAACTTTGTCATCATACTCTCTACCTGGAATCCTAAAAACAACTCTAACAAGTACATCTAAAATCTTAAAACTAATCAAATTAGATGGATTGCATTTGGAATTGTAGCATACACTATGTTATGACATGATAGAACTATATAGTTTAATTGATCATTTCTAAGGAGGATCACGTCATCCTTTATCGATTACGGACTGTAAATGATAAATTGATAACCCAACTATTTTGAGGAAAAAAAAAAAAAAAACTACTACTATTATCATAATTAGACTTCTAGAACAACAAATCCAAAACATATTTGACATGAAGCAAAAGAATCTACTGTTTTATTTGTGTCTGCATCTTTGCCACATGTTATTCCATCATTCATTTAACCTACATTGAATTCCGTTTTAACATTTGCCACTCAATTAATTAATATATGGGGGTTCGACAAAAAAAAAAAAAAAAAAAAGGGTTTGTATGCTTTTTTACTTTTGGCTAATAAATAGAAAATCCAAAAGAAGCTTTCATACAAAATCAACTAATAAAATGAAAAGTTATAAGGGAATCATATATTGTGAAAGATTTGGAATCCATTTTTCACGGCTGTAAAAAAGTCAAACACTTTTGCTGTCAGCCTGTCACCATTGTCGTCTCCCTTATTACGAGTACGAAGAAGTAACTCACACTTACAAAAAATAATACTCCCTCCGTTCCGTTTTAGTTGTCGTTTAAGGTTTTTTAACACAAATTAAGAAAAACATTAAATTTTCTGTTTTATCCTTTATTAATATATTTTATAAAAAAATTCATTGGCCAAAACATTAAAACATTAGAGATAAAACTGAAATTTTTACCAAACATTTGCATTGAAAACCTAAAACGACAACTATTATGAAACAAAATTTAAATCATAAAACGACAACTAAACTGAAACGGAAGGAGTAGAACTTTTGATGCACTTTGGGAATATAAAATATATATCACTTAGCGCCATGTATTAGTATCAGGTTGAATTTAATTGTAGGGATGCATAATCAGCCGATAAATAAAGAGAAGAAAAACAAATTATATCCTAGACTTAAAACAAACAAAACAATATAGTAAAACGTTCAATACAATTCCAAATATATTCAATATATCTGATATAATTCATGCGATTAATTTTTGTTTTTTTGGTGAAATGATTCATGCGATTCATTTAGTGTAATCAACATTTGAACCGATCAGCAAAACTGGTAAGCGTATTTGGAATTCACTTTGGAGCCTTCACGAACTGATTCTAGACAACTTGATCTTAAAGTTGGACTTTATATCTTCTTAAAGTGGGTTTGCATGAAACTTTCCGCTTACTTCATATACTAGCTTTGCGCTACAACTTAGAGCCAATAGAAAATGTAGTGTTAAAATTGGTTACGAATTACGGCTACATGGTCCACACCAGAGAATATTTGACGTTATAAAGGCCAACTCTTCCGCTCTCCTTATGCTCAAAGTAAGAGCTTCTACTCAAAACCATTTGCTTCTTTCTGATTAGAGAGAGAGACACACACAATGGGTGCTAACGTTTCTTCTCCAGAGCAGAGATTTCAGGTGACCAACTTCCGTTCAAGGAAGCCATGGACACCTCAACCTGAGATTTATCCTTTCAATGTCAACAGTCCTCGTATTGTGGAGATCAAGAACATGAATCAGTGGAAATCTCGGCTCAACGCTCTTAATGACACCAACAGGCTGGTAAATTAATTACTTAAAGCGCTTTCTAATCTTACTAAAGCCATTTTTTTTAGGTTATTTTTCGACAATGTTAATATGAGTGTTCGAACCGGGGTTCTTCTAATCATATTCGAGAGATTAATACGGGTTAAGATAACACATTAATTTATTTGAACTATGAACTCAAAACAAAAATGAATAATTAGCTTGGTCCATGTCCATTATGATCCAAGTCACACACCCTCATGAAATTATGACTTTTCTGACTCATCTCAGACCAAAGCTCACTCTAAAGTCGAAACATATCCTTTTTGGCTTATCATATTTGAGTCAAATTTAGGCTATGATACTATGTTAATTTTAATAGGTTTTCGACTTAAAAATCAGTTGAGTAGATTTATCTATATACCAATTTACCCTATGTCGTCTCATCTTATTTCCAATGTGAAAATCTTAACATAGTGAAACTGAAATTTCTCTTAGGTTTAATTCAAAAACACCTAAATGAACATTCGATTTCATGTATATATATATATATATAGCTGGTGATTGAGTTTACAGCCAAATGGTGTGGACCATGTAAATCCCTTGAACCAGAGCTTGAAGAGTTGGCAGCTAAGTACACCGATGCTGAGTTTGTGAAGATTGATGTCGATGTATTAATGGTAATAACTAATCAATCTCTTTTAATTTCCTTCATCTTATTTCTCAAAGTCTAAAGAAAATAAAGAAAAGGTTTCAACAAAATTTGTGTTTGCATTTGAGTTATAAAATAGTGTTCGGTTGATGTACAGAGCGTATGGATGGAGTACAACCTTAACACTTTGCCTGCGATTGTATTCATGAAAAGAGGAAGAGAAGTAGACAGGGTTGTGGGTGTGAAGGTTGATGAGGTAGAGAGGAAACTCCACAAATATACACAATCCTTCTTCTAGAAAGGGAAGTTTTCAATTACTTAACATGCCAAACAAAACTCCTCATCACCTTATGCCAAGAATATATATAGTTGCTACTATGTATAAATAAATGTTTGAACGACGATTCAACAAAATTAATAAAACGTGTTTGTGATGTAAAGGAATTGGATGTTGGATTTGCTATGTACCATATATAAATTTATGATCAGTGATTTGTATGGATTATTAATCTTTCTTTCATTTTTTTCTCAAATACCCTTAATTATACACATGCATAAAACATTATAGTTTTTATAATCGAGACACTCCAAACCAAAACTCGAGACTATAAAATTTGTGAAAAAAACAGCGTGTATTTTTTGTCACAAATTTTTTTTCTTAGTAAACTAGCGTCTTGAATCGAGTTAAGCTTACTTGTAGAGGTTTGTTTATGAATTAAGTATCAAGTTTTCATGGGAAAATGGAGATCTGTTTTCTTTTATTTTGATGGTAAACAAGCTCTTCACCAGTAACACTTTAGTAGAAGAATAATTTAGTAACACATTCTATCAAAGTGGAAGAGTTGGTGAAGACTTGCGCAATGATTAGGTTACACTTCAATAATTAAAAAAAAAAATTATAACACAAATTAATTCTTGATGGCGAATTCACATAAAAAATGGGAGGGTGAAACTTAAATGCTTCGTTTACAAAATAAGCTTATGTACAAAAAAAAATGAAAGATTACATCAATCCACAATAACAGTCTATCTAAATTTTCTCTGATTAATTTAACACTCTTATATAATGGAAACAAGGACCAAACTCTCAATCTTGAGCCTCTAATACTTCGACCACTGCTAATAATAATACAATCGAAACAAAGGGAAACCACACAGCTTGCCGTTTAAGAAGTACCTGAGGGTACTAGAACGACATGCATTGTTCCACTATTTGGTGGAAGTTGCAAACGAAGAGGAAACAGCTTGCCGTTTAAAGGATTGCGTGTACACACCACAACATCATACATGCTAGTCTCTTCTTGCAACGCCTGCGTCAACTGTTCCACGCTATTTCCATTGAAATTCAAAGCGTATCCAACGGCTGATTCTTCCTCCACGTGTCCTTCTTCGTCCGCGATATGGTAGTAAATAATCCTCCCTTCAGATTTCGGCGGCGGCACGGTCAACTAGTCAAACCAAAACCAAGAAAATGTTAAGACGATAATCTTGAAAAAATCAGAAAGATATTTTCGTAATTTACAGTTTAATAAATATTTTGGACATGAAATGGATATTCTAAAAATATCTAAAGAAACAATATTTTATCATCCATCCATTCCCCTACTAGATATCTAAAAATTTTGATCCGCTTCATTCCAAAATTTTTAGATATTTTAGATTTTTTTTTTATATTATTTTGATTTTTAATTTCCGCCAGATAAATGTTCAAAAATAAGTGAAACAGTGTAACGGATCAATTATTAATACCTCTTCTTCGGATTTTTCTGAAAATGTTCTAGAAACCGGAGAATACGAGTACGACGGTCTCCTATGTGGCGGCGGAGTTGTCACCGGAACTGGAGCTGGAGCTGGAGCTGGAGCCGGAGTGGCCGTTCCCACCAAAATCTCAACCACATCAACATCCCACAAGAAGGAGTCTGATACATGAGGAGTGTCATGCGTGACAGAGTTACGCCACGGAGGAAGTCCACCGTTAGCTCGAAGCAAGTTGCCGTATCTCGTCTTGAGCTTCATTTTGGAACCTTCTCTCGCCGGTTCCCACTCAACGGACGAGTCGAGTCGAGCCGGTTTAGACAAGACCACTTTACGTCCAGTGGCGCCGAGCAAGAACCGTTCGTTTGAGGCAGTGAGGTAATTACCGTAACAGCTCCTCAAACGGATTACTTCAAAGGAACCTCGAACCGGCTCGACGGTCCATCTAGCTCTCTTGTCGGAACCATTCCTGTCTTGTGTCACCGTTTCCTCGTCTTCGTCCGCCGTTAGATACTTATCATGGACATTACGCATCCTTACGGCTTTAGCTTGATTGAAAAACTCCATTTGCTAATAACTCTAGCTACTACTAATTCCTTTTTGGCGAAGCTTAAAAAGTTTTTATTTCACGAGACAAAATTAATGTGAAATGTGATGTTTGGTGTTGTATTTATTATAGGAGACTAAGTCCAAAGCGGTGCGCCGTGACGTGGACCTTTTTCAACCGATAATTTTGAATTCATCCAAATATTATATGATATAGCCATGTGATGAAACGATTTTAGCCACTAGGCATGGAAAAGTCGTGCTTAATTGACGTGTTTCACCAAATTTTGTTTTCCACGTCAGCATCATATAGATATCGATAAATAATTCGATTTTCATCCTTTTAGTCTTTTACGTGTGTTTTCCATTCTTTCCCGTTGTAACTTGTGTAACCTAAAGAAAAGAAGAGTATCAATTAAGGTATCATGTCACTCTATATGTGCCACGTATACATTACCTTTTCTTCCTACGCTGGAATCAGAGAAGATAAAAAGTGAATGTTGTAACTTGTAAGTAAATGAAACGTACGATGTTTGTTAACAAAGTAAATAGAAAAATTTGTTATCCAAAAGAATATAGGTGATGAATGGTGAATACCCGTGAATAAATGAAGAAGAAATGTAAAATGTATTTGCCCGTAAAAAACAACGAGAGATGAGAGTGACGAGTGTGGGACTAATACCAACTTTTGCTAGTGTACGTTACTCTTGCTTACGTATAGGGTCGTTGGCACGGGCTGGACTAGTTGCATTTGAGCCCAATCCACTTTTTAACACAATCTGCTTTGAGACAGCTTTCTTTCGTATTTAATTTAAAAATTTGAACTCTGATGATCTTGATTTTGATCAATTAACCAAGAAAACATTAAGGAAATCAAATCGGATGTTTCAGGATAGTTTCTCTATGATTTAAAATTATACATATGCAACTTCATTAATAAACTAAAATAAGCCATCCAAAGTTTATGCACATTAATTTTAAAATAAATTAGAACGATATCAATTCAAATGTCTTTTTTGGAAAAAATGTATTCAACCACAAAAACCTTGTTTATGCATCATTTGGTAAAAGCTTACATCAACTCGAATGTTATCTTGATGTTACATGTGGAAAAAAAAGAATACGAAGTTATTTGGATAGACTGCCTAAATTCATACACTAACGCCTAACACAACAACTAAATAGCCATACATTAACTAACTAAGAAAAACCTTAATGTCATAATCTCACTAATTATAACAATGAAAAAAACGTTCAAATAAATCAACGTCGATTAGCAATAGTTTACAGATAGTTTCAACTTTCAACTAGTACATTTTGTGTGTTTTTAAATTAATTTGTTAACTTTCTTGGTAATTTAATTTGTATATTATTTTGCATTGAATATGCTTTAATGCTTTATAAACATATTTGTACAATGGCAAAAAAAATTTTGTACCATACTTGGCTTCTTGCTCTACTTGAAAAACATTGAAACCCATCTCGTTTTGGTTGGGGATTTCTATTCGGTATGATCTTTTGTACCATACCTGGCTCCTTGCTCTACTTAATTCATTTTGCTTGTTTGTGACATCATTTTTTCTATATATCAAATCCAAACCTGGAACAATCAAAATACATAAAGATTACTCAAAGGAACACGGAAATGAAAGAACAACAAAAACAGAAAATATTCGAAAAAAAAAAACTAAAAATGAGACGTATCAATTTCCCTATACTTAGTCATTTGCACGTCCTCAAACAAACAATACGCTAAATCAAATTGAGAAATTGGAAAACTAGAACTCACATATTCTCAACTCTCCAGGGTGGAATTTGGAAACATCTAGTACAGACTACAGACTCTATATGACTATATTATATTCTCTCCTATCACCGATTTGTAACAAACCTGAGCACTTAAAACGCAGAGCATCATCATTAAGAAACCTCTGGGGCCTTTACTAGTCATCTCATTAACCCGAAGCCCATTGACCCCACTGGCCACAGCTCATTCCGACATAAATGGTGAAAGAATCAAAGAAGCGTAGATAATTTATTGAATCCAATCAATCCAATGTTTCCATAGGACTAAAAGTCATACTCTTTTAAGATTATCCCAAAATTTATTAAAGATTTCTTCGATACAAGCGTCGCAACTTTGTGTTTGCTGAATCTTTTTTTACAAATTCCAACACGCATTCCAGTGACACCCAACCAATAATCAAAATATGAACATTAATCATGTTGCAAACAAAATGATGAAGTCTCAAGACGAGTTTAAAGTCATGAATCAACCTGTCCCATGAATATCGACCACATCAACGTCCCAAACCACCCAATTCTGCGTAACACTCCGGTTTGGTGAATCATGTGTAACCGTATTCCTCCAAGGTGGCACTCCCCCATTGGCTCTCAAATAATTCCCGCCGTTTCTACTCCTCAGCTTAACATTTGAACCTTCTTTCACCGGCTCCCACTCTCCTGCCGGCTCACCGGCCCGAATCTTCCTAGACTGCACCACCTTATGCCCCGTCGCTCCCAACAAAAACCGCTCATTCGACGCCGTCAAGTATCCACCGTGGCAGCTCTTTAACCGGATCGCCTTTTCGGATCCGGGTACCATTTCAACTCTCCATCGAGCTTCTTTAGATGACCCGGTTCGGCCCATCACCACACTCTCTTCGTCGTCATCAGCAGTCATATATTTATCGTGTGCGGTGCTTCGTAAACGCACCGATTTCGCATCCCGGAATATTTCCATCGCTGATACATTTTCTACAATTATCTTCTTCGAACTTTTCCTCTGTTCCAAAACAAATTACCCCAAAATCAATATTTTAATTATGTGTATAAATTTATCAAAACAAAAAAAATTATATGAATAAGAATTAATGTGTACCTCTGTTGGTTTTGGGGACAATGTACCCGACCTTGACGGAGTAAACATAAGTTTAGAAGAAGAAACCGAAGCAAGTGACCCAGGATCCGACCCGATAGATTCAGAAGATCCAAAAGTAGGTAATTTCTGAACCGGTGACCCGTGATTTGACCCATCGGAGACCGACGAGTTAAAACTCGAAGCCGGTGATGAAAAACGATCAGCAAACAAAACCTTATCAGGATTCTCAACGAGCTCCACAGACCACAAGATCCATTTCTTCGTCGCTGAAATATGTGGCTCACGATCACACGTCACAGAGTTCTTCCACGGCGGAGCTCCTCCGTTTCCACGTAAATATTTCTCGTTCCACGACATGAGTTTGACCGTTGACTCTTCTCTGATTGGCTCCCAGTCGCTTTCGTGCTCCGCTTGACGAAACGGCGGCGTTTGGATGACTTTCGCTCCGGTCATTCCCAGAAGAAACGACGACTCGCTCGCCGTTAAATACTTGCCGTAACAACTCTTGAGACGGATGAATTTGGGTTTACGTGGCACCATCTCCACCGTCCATAACGATTGCCGTGACGTTCCGTCAGAGCTTTGACGGACGGTTTTTTCATCGTCGACGGCGTAGATGTATTTTTCGTGACAGCTCCGTAATCTAACGGCCGTTCCTTTGGTGAATAACTCCATTTTTTTCTTCTTCTTCGTTTCTTTGGTGAGATTTTGTTATGATCGTATAAGTATTTATATGATATTTTCTTGTATATTATTTGTTCTCCAAGTATTACCATTTCATTAAATTGAAATGTTGCGCGTAGATTTGTTAGGTGACATATGTGTTTTCTTAGTTATTTCAATTTAATTATATTGTTCTTATAAAGGATGAATTTGTCAAATGCATTTCCAGGCTGTTTATCAATAGTCTCCGAGACTCGGTCGAGATGTACAGCAAGATTCATTTTTTTTCCTTTTTTTTTTTATGAAACTAGTTGTAATTTGTGATATTTCTATATCATAAAAATGTCAACCCTCTTTCTTTTTAAATAAGTTTTGATTAATTATGAAAAAAACAGTGTTAACATGTTACATTTTAAAATTTAATAGATGGTACAATACAAAATTTTCAGGCAAAAGGTAATTTGTGGAATTAACTTTCTTTTTGTATTTAGTTTCACATAATAATATAATCCAGAAAATAGATTTTAAAAAAAAAGCTCATGGAAATAATTTCAGTGCTTGCTAATATATTATTTTTTTGGTAGGATTGCTAATATTTTTCTTAAAATGGTATAAATCTCTTATAATTAACTTAAAAACACTGGCTTAACTTAAGAGTTAAGAGTTAAGAGTCTTATTTTAAGGCAAAAAAAAAAACTGAAATTAAATAATATTTTGAAATAATTAAGAAGACAAAAGTATATAAAATACAATGGAAAATCCAATTATAGTCAGTCTTTTTAATGATACTTTAGAAAATAAATCTAAAATCTGATATATTGTACTATTTCATAAGCTTTCTTTTTTGGGTGTGCAGCTTCTAAACTTGGATAGTGCATAAACGTGGACACGTGGTGGCACTAGAAATGGGCCTATATTGCTGTTTTTGGATTCAACAAAATATATAATAGGTTGCTAAGTATGGGTCGAAATGGAGGCCCCATATTACAACTTTTTAAAACGGTACAAGCCCAAAGTACAACATGAATTTTCAAAAGCCTCATTATTAAAGAGTGAGACACCAAAAAAGGTCAGCTTTATTCGGTCGCATCGCATTAATTGTCCTTTTTCTTGAATCATGACTGGAGGAAAGGCCCCAAACTCCCAAATCAACGTCTGTATCATTGCTCCTTTAGAATTTTGTTGCAATCTTTATGTTTGAAGGACAAAACTCATATGTGAACAAATGAGCTACAATTTATTTTTCATTAATGTATACGACCAATGAGCAGGACCTGCAAGATCAAGCCAAGAGATGTGAGTATCGTAATGAATATGTTTGTTTGTTTCTTCATCCGGATATGCAACCAGATCTAACATTTCGATGTATATCGAAGATTAGTATCTTAAACTAATTATTGGATCTCCATGCAGTATTCGATCCAAAACTGTTTGTTTGTGAGTTTACAAAACGAAAATTAGAGATTAAACTAGTCAAATTTTAAAAATTAAAATAAAGAAAATAAACAGTTTTGATGCCAAAACGAGATTCCGTAACTAATTCTAACGGCAAATTGAGATTCCACGATATTTGGGTGGTTTAAACGCGATTCCGTGGTTTTAACACCCTGCGGTATTAAAACCAATTTGAGAATTCCCATCTAACGCGAAAAAATGCATGTAAGACTATAAAGAAGATCTATCTGTCCTAGTCGGTCAGATAAGTTATCAGCTTACCCAAACTATCCTATATGCAATTTCATGACCCATTAGCATACAAAATTTTCCTCAAACCACCCATACAAATAGGCAAAATTACATATCACTCGAGACTCGACCCAAACATATGAAGAAAATCTTGTTTATTTCTATAACTCAAAAGCTCTCTATCGATCTTACTCCACCAACACAGATTAAGATCACTTAAAACACCCATTAAACGAGTTGAATTTATTTATTTTTTATTTTATTTTTTTAATTTTTTTAAAATACTTAAATTTCCATTAAAACTCAAACAGTACAAGCCAACTGGCGAAACAGACACGCAGGCCCTACATTACAAGCCAACTGGCCAAAACAGGCACACAGGCCCAACAGAGCATAAAAACCAGGCCCACGAAGGAGCAACAAACCTGCCACGACCTGGAGAAAGCAAGAAAGGAACAACCTGCAGAGGAGGAGAAAAACAAAGGAAAGGAACGACAAAAAATTACAACGAGGAAGAGAAACGCTGAAACAAGTCAAACCAAGTACATAACAATGAAGAGCCAGGCTGCAGACACCGCTGCGACCGAGAGAGAGGGTCGAGACGAGCTCGGATGATAAGTTGTATCTCCTTGATAATCACATGAGGCGGTCTGGCAATACCCGAGTGGATGCGAAGATTACGCTCCTTCCAGATAAAGTATACCGATGCTTGAAACAGAAGCTTAAGAATGAGAGAGAGATTGGAGTCCCTGGAGGCAGAGAGTAACCACAAGAGACAATTCATGAACTGAGACGGGGGTTAATCTCGCAGCAGCCATGAAAAAAACCCCAAATTTCTGAACTGTACCGGCAGACAAAGAACAGATGATCCCTGGACTCATCCAAACCATTACAGAGGACACACACCTAAGGAATAGAAAGGCCCCAGTTCCTTAGTCTATCTCTAGTATGTAACCTGTTCCATGTAACAACCCAACAAATAAAAGCTTGCTTGGGAATGTGATCTTTAAACCAAACAGCTCTATGCCAAAGAACCGCTATGGTGGAAGTATTAAGAGCTTGCCAAGTATTTGCCGTAGAGAACTTGCACGTAGGAGCATGATGATCGATTTTCCAAAGATAAGAATCATCATGCTGACAGTCTATCAGATTCCCGGCAGCAGGAAGAGTATTTTTGAGCAGGACAATAACCGGATTCCTGCTTCTGCTGGACGAAATCCACCAGTCACTGTCACGGAGTGCATCCCTGACCACCGCATTAGATGGTAGACCAGCCAACTGCGGGCCATTTAAGCCAGTTAAATCGATCAGCGGACCATAACCGGTCTAATTATCATGCCAAAAGCTTGCAGTGATACCTGATCCGACTTCACAAATGATGAAAGGTCTAGCAATAGATCTAAGCTTACACAGTTTTCGCCAGATCCAGCTACCCGAGTAATAAGGGTTTCCTATGCAGAAACGAGTTGAATTTAATTTGATTATATGCATATATTTATAGAGTCGTTGATCTTTGGCTCTTCTGCCTCTTCACCAACCATTTCTGCATAAAACTGTCAAAAAGTATAAGTTCCTTAGATTTTCTAGCAATAATTCAAACACTAATATAAACATCCATTTTCATTATTGACAAAATAAAGCGTTCACTTTAACCTGAACTATTTTTCCATTTGTCTACAATGTCTGTCGTCACTTTTTGACTTTTATTTTTGCTTCTATATTCCCATTTACTCTTTACTCACATTCATATACTTTTTCACTAGGATATGACCCGCGGTACATTCATATACACCGCGGGTTAATTATTTGATTTTTTTTATTTTTATAAATTGATGAATTTATTGTGTATAATATTTTTTATTGTATACCGCGGGTCACATGCGTTGTATCTAAAATAAAAAATTTTAAATTGTATTTGTTTTGTTTAGTGTTTAAGATTGTATAATTGTATTTTGATTTGTTATTTATAGGATTTCACCTGTGGTATATTGTCTCGTATTAATATTGACTCAAACCCGTCCAACCATATAATCTAAAATGAAATTAAACATCATTTTGTTATTTTTTTAATAACACTATTATTTAAATGTCATATAATTCGAGTTAATTTGAAAGTTGCTTTCAAATAGTTTCCATGTATATTTTTAAATTAGTGTGTATTTTTAGACCAACCTGTAAAAACAATTTATAATTGTATCTTAAAATACTAATTAGAATTTCACCCGTGATATACTGTCCCATTTTAGATAATTGTAAAAATTAAAGAAAGATCCGAATGACTCAATTTCGGGTCTGAATAAAATAACGACATGATTAAATGCTCAATTTGTTCTTAAAAATGTTAACATAGATTACACACATATTTTTATTCATCGATTGAGTAATATATGTCCGTTTTAAAAAATTTGAATTGTAACATATGCAGAAAAAAAACTAAAATTTACTAACTATTTATATATTTTATAATAATTTAAAATAATATAAATATAAGATCAAATAAAAGTGAAATAAGAATCATATATTTATGTTTAAATTAGGTAGAGAGGTTTTAGGAAATTAGTGCAAATTTGTTATATTAGCATTAAATCATCATATTTGATTTCTTTATCTATAAAAATCGTGGAGAATATACCATAAATAAAGCGTTTAAATATAGTAATTAGTTGAGAAAGTATATATATTTTAGATTTTATTAATTATTTTCGTTTTTTAATTTTGCCAAAATTTAAGGAAAGATCCGATTGAAGATTTCCGGGTCAAAATTAAACAAATTTGACCCGATTTGGGTACCCCAAAAACTGCTCCAAAAATGTATAGTAGACTAGATTGTTACCCGCGGTACACCGCGGGTTAATTATTTGATTTTTTTTGTCTTTTTATAAACTGATGAATTTGTTGTATATAATATTTTTTGTTGTACATTGCGAGTCACATGCGTTGTAATTAAAAATGAAAATTTTAAGTTGTATTTGTTTTGTTTTGTGTTTAAAATTGTATAATTATATTTTGATTTGTTAATCCCAGGATTTCACCCGTGATATATTATCCCGTATTAATATCAATCCAAATCTGACCCGTCCCACCATATAATCATGTCCCGTAAAATTAAACATCATTTTGTTATTTCTTTTAATAATACTTTTATTTAAAAGACATATAATTCGAGTCAATTTAAAAGTTTGCTTTCAAATAGTTTCTATAATATATATATATATATATATTTCAAATTAGTGTGTGTTTTTAGACCAACCCGTAAAAATATTTTTAAAATGTATATTAAAATACTAAATAATTGTATTTCGATTTGTTAATTTTAAGATTTCACCGTGGTATATTGTCTCGTTTTAGATAATTGTAGAAATTAAGAAAATATCTGAATGACTCAATTCCGGGTTAGAGTAAAAAAAAAAATACGACCTGATTAAACGCGCAAATTTGTTTTTCAAAAATGTTAATATAGATTGTACACATATTTTTTTCTTCATCGACTGAGTAATATGTCTGTTTTAAAAAATTTGAATCATAGCATATGCAGAAAAAAATCGAATTTTTTTATTAAGTATATATATTTTATAATAGTTCAAAATAATATAAATATAAGATCATATAAAAGTGAAATGAGAATCATATATTTATGTTTTTATTAGGTAGCGAGGTTTTAGGAAATTAGTTCAAATTTGTTATATTAGCATTAAATAATCATATTTGATTTCTATATCTATAAAAATTGTAGAGAATATGCCATAAATAAAGAGTTTAGGTATAGTAATTAGTTGAGAAAATATATATTTTTTAGATTTTATTGATTAATTTTCGTTTTTTAATTTTGTCAAAAATAAGGAAAGATCCGATTGAAGATTTCCGGATCAAAATTAAACAAAATGTGACCCGATTAGGAACCCAAAAAGTGTTGCAAAAATGTATAGTAGATTTGCTACAAGGAAAAATGTAAAAATATTGTTCTTACTTTCATTCATAGACTTTTTTTTTTATTAATCAGGAAAAGAGAAATATTTTGAATTCGAGTTTCACTGCCTGGTGCATAGGGAGAGTCGAAAACCAAAAAATAAAAAACACAAAGAGTTATTAAGATATTTATTTTTATAAAATAAAAATAAAATCGAAACTCTTCAGTTCCAAGTTCCTAAACCTTCACGTGCCTCTTCTTCTTCTTCCTCTTCCTCACAACACTGTCCATATCGACAAAATTCAGTCAACAGATTTAGAATCAGATCTCTTCCTTTCTCCTTTACATGTCTCAACCACCGTGGAGATGCTTCTCTCTACTCTTCTTTGTTCTCACCATTGTTAAACCTTCCTCTGCATCTACTTCATGTTCTTCTTCATTTCATTGCCCACCGTTTAACTCCTCACCACCGTACCCATTCTCATCTTCTCCGGGATGTGGCCACCCAAACTTCCAGATCCAATGCTCATCTTCACGCGCCACCATCACAATCAAAAACCTCACTTTCTCTATCCTTCATTACTCATCTCTCTCATCTTCTCTAACCCTCTCTCCCATTACAAACTCTACCCGGACCAACAACAACTGTTCTTCTGCCCGGTTCTCCTCCTCACCAAACCGGTTCATCGACTTAACCGGTTCACCTTTCAGAGTCTCTGACTCTTCTTGCTCTCGTCTCTCTCTTCTCCGTCCTTGCTCTCCTTTAACTCTCCCTAACTGTTCTCGTTGTCCTTGGGACTGTAAACTTCTAAAGAATCCGGGTCGGATCCTACACGGTTGCGAATCAACCCACGGGTCGTTATCTGAACAAGGCTGTCAAGGAGATCTTCTTGGGTTTCTTCAAGATTTCTTCACTAGATTTGGATTTGAAGTTGAATGGGACGAATCTCAAGATCCTTACTTTGCTAAATGCAGAGATTGTCTAATCAAGAATGGTGTTTGCGGGTTTAATTCGACCCACCCGAATCAAGATTTCCTTTGTTTCCACAAATCAAGATCCGAATTAGTAACACACAGAGATTCTAAAAGAGTTAATCATATCGCTGTGTTGTCTCTTATCTTCGCTTTGACTTGTCTCCTACTTGCTTTCTCCGTCGCCGTAGCGATTTTCCGATCACGGAGAGCGAGTTTCTTGTCTTCAGTCAACGAAGAAGACCCGGCTGCTCTCTTCCTCCGCCGTCACCGCTCCGCCGCTCTTCTCCCACCAGTCTTCACCTTCGAAGAGCTCGAATCCGCCACAAACAAATTCGACCCCAAGCGCAAAATCGGCGACGGTGGTTTCGGTTCTGTTTACTTAGGCCAACTCAGCGACGGACAACTTCTCGCCGTTAAATTCCTCCACCATCATCACGGCGCAACCGCCGCCGCCACCGAACATTGCAAAGCATTCTCGATGAAATCATTCTGCAATGAGATCTTGATTCTCTCTTCAATCAACCATCCTAACCTCGTCAAGCTCCATGGCTATTGCTCTGACCCGAGAGGACTTCTTCTTGTCCATGATTACGTCACTAATGGTACTCTCGCCGATCATCTTCACGGCCGGAGACCGAAGATGACGTGGCGAGTAAGGTTAGATATTGCTGTACAAACGGCTTTAGCTATGGAGTATCTTCACTTCGATATTGTTCCACCGGTTGTTCATAGAGACATAACTTCGTCGAATATCTTTGTGGAGAAGGATATGACAATCAAAGTCGGAGACTTTGGTCTCTCTAGGCTCTTGGTGTTCTCGGAGACGACGGTGAATTCAGCTTCTTCGTCTGATTACGTTTGTACCGGACCACAAGGTACGCCCGGTTATTTAGACCCGGATTATCACCGGTCTTTTCGGTTAACGGAGAAGAGTGACGTGTATAGTTACGGCGTCGTTTTGATGGAGTTGATTACGGGTATGAAAGCGGTTGATCAACGACGTGAGAAGAGGGACATGGCTTTAGCGGATCTTGTTGTATCCAAGATCCAAATGGGTCTTTTGGATCAAGTGATTGACCCGTTGCTTGCGTTAGACAGCGATGATGTGGCGGCGGTGACTGACGGATTCGGCGTTGCGGCGGTTGCTGAGTTGGCGTTCCGGTGTGTTGCGGTGGATAAGGATGATCGTCCGGACGCTAAGGAGATTGTTCAGGAGTTGAGGAGGATTAGGAACCATACACGTGTGAGGGATGATGACGTGGCGAAAGATTGAGTGTTGGATTAGATTACGGATGACGTAATGTGAATGTGATGTAAGTAAAGTGTTGTTGACTGGTCTCATTGTGTACGTGTTGAATTTTGTCGGGAATTGCAAACCTTCTATCCCAACTAGAAGGAGCCTCACATGTGTGTGTGATGTAATCCTAGTACAGTAGTACACACGTAACTCGAAGTTTGTATTTTGTGTTTATAGATTTTGTATGTGAGAATAGAGATTTGAAAAAATGATTTTGTTGTTTCCCGTAACCGTAAGGTATCAATATTGGAATATGAAAAATGTAAGATATCAAATCGTGTTTCCTATGTAGAAATAAAGAGTTCGTATCTAGAAAAAAATATCCAAACACCGGTTTATAGGAAAATATATTTTGTTAGAAAAAATATATTGCAATTGGCATCACAATTCATTGAGATCAAACATATAAAGATTGATATGCATCTTATGGTCTTCAATCTTTGACGGATGCATACAAACATAATCTTAGCTGTGATAATAGATTGAATCGCTCTGTAGATTAATCCCATATAACTAAAAAAACAAAACTTTCACCAAACGTGAAACAATTCCTTAAATAATGTAAATAGGACTCATTCACGACCAAAAAAAAAAAAATGTAAATAAGACTCATTTATTATTGTAAATGGTCTCAAATTTAAGCACAATAAGTCACAAATACCCCGAAAGTGAAAATCCGATGAGAAGATCTCTTCATGAATTTATCTACCTTATCATTAATATAAAGTTATAAACTAATGGAATTGTAAAACTTAAAACAGAATACTTTTTTTTTGAAATTATCTTTTTAAAATGTATGTAATAGACTTTGTGTGTGTGTGAAATATACTTTTAGAGACCCTTTCAAATAATTTAAGCAAATGATATTATTTATATAGGTTATTAATGGCAAGGGGTAAATAATCACAAACTAAAGGTAGTATTTTGCTTATTATTATTTTTTCCTTTTCAATATATACAGGTAGTTTGAAAATTTAATAAATGAATTTAGTGCTATAAAAAAGAAAATTAATGTCGAATCATTTAATCATAATAAAATCAATTGAATTTATTATATTTATAAATTAAAAATTATAAGAATTAAATAGTAAAAGTATTTTATTAAAGAAAAATTGTATTTGTGTGTATGTGTGTAATTTACTTTTAGATATAAGCAAAGTCAAAAGATAGGATTTATAGAGATTTTCTAATGACAAGGGGTGTAAATAATAACAAACTAAAAGTTGATTTTAACTATAAAAAAAGTCTTTATTTTTATAATATAGTAGATATACAAATGTCACAATCTATATAAGGAAGCAATATTTTACTGAAACAATATTTTACAAACACTTTCAATCAACCTCAACAATATTCCTACTACTCCAAACGAAAAAAATGGATAAAATCTTTGTATCCTCAAAGAAAATGGAGAACAAAAGATTGGCCACATTTGTGGTGATGATGTTGACGATTGGAAACCTTATAGTTGAATCGGAGGGTTTAGAAAAATCTAGTTCTCAAAATACAGTTGATTACCTCTCGTGTCTTGAACTTTGTATTACTACTCTATTCTTACGAGATAAACTTCCAGTCAAATGTGCTGAACAATGTTGGAAGCCTCCTCCCGAAATGAATTGCAAAATGGGTTGTGTTACTCATCGTTGTGTTTCTATTGAAAATCACAGTAAGTTTTTTTGCAATAATCATAAATTATATTTTTCATATAAAATTATATTATTACTCTTGTTTTTACTGCGCCCTTTTTACGATGTTTATATTTATATATGATAGACTATTATGACTATTTATGAATATTTATTTATATCTTTGTGTGTTTTCTTTTGTGTGTGTTACTAACAGATACAAAGTTAGATGCAAAAAAGACTATGATGTGTGTGAACTCATGTTTGGATATGTGCGATATAAAGAACTAAAAGCGATATATATTAGTTTTATTATGTGAAATTGCTGTTTTAATAAAGATAATATGAATCATTGGTTATTATTCAACAAATCTCATGTTTGGATGTGTGCGATATGAATCATTGGTTTGTTTAACTGAATCTCCTTAAAATCCCAATAGAAATTTACTTTAATTATCTTTATTTAAGTTGTATCATAGTAATTGCTCCCAAAAAATAAATAAATAGTATAATAGTTTTCCATTTTATTCAATATTTGTCTAAGCCACAAGAGAGTAACTCTAACCAGGAGCCAAAAGTGAAAGGAGGTTAGCTTAGTCTCGTACTCACAGGTCACAGCATTTCTAAAGTAGGGAGCAACATCACATGACAACAACAAGTGATCCTTTGTTTCTGGATACGAAGAACAGAGACCACAAGTCGTTTGGAGCTGCACTCCCCAGCCAGCAAGTCTTGATTTGGTAGGCGATCGGTCCAGGTTTGCTATCCACATGTTAAAAAGTATGTTTAGGCGTGGCCCTTTAAACCAAACCGAATCTGACCAATCTACCAAATCAGCTCTTGGTCTTAGAACAGACCACGTTCTTGATGATGAGAGAAACCTTTGCAACTTATAAATAGTTTATTCCTCATCATTTCATTTAAGAAAAGAAAAAAAAAAAAATTCGAACTCAAATAATTTCTCCAAATTGAGATTTAAAAAATGCTCGACTCTACCCCAGTGTTTGTGTTTATTCTAGGTTTGCTTCTCCTTACATTAACTATGAAGCGTAAGGAGACGAACAAAACCATGATATTCATTTGCCACACGAGAAACCTCTCTCTCCCTCCCGGGCCGAAATCTTGGCCTCTAATAGGAAACCTGCCAGAAATACTAGGGAGGAACAAGCCGGTGTTCCGGTGGATACATTCTCTCATGAAAGAACTCAGCACTGATATTGCATGTATCCGTCTTGCGAATACTCACGTGATCTCCGTGACATCCCCGAGAATTGCAAGGGAGATTTTGAAGAAGCAAGACTCCGTTTTTGCCACTAGACCGCTAACAATAGGCACGGAGCACTGCAGTCGCGGGTACTTGACCATTGCGGTGGATCCACAAGGAGAGCAGTGGAAAAAGATGAGGAGAGTGGTGGCATCTCACGTGACGAGCAAGAAGAGCTTCAAATTGATGCTTGAAAAGAGAACCGAAGAGGCTGATAACTTGGTCCGGTACATCAATAACCGCAGTGTCAAAAACTGTGATAATGGTAATGGTCTTTCGGTTATTGATTTAAGGCTTGTGTTGCGGCAATACAGCGGAAATGTAGCTCGGAAGATGATGTTTGGTATAAGGCATTTTGGTAAAGGAAGTGAAGATGGATCGGGACCAGGGTTCGAAGAGATTGAACATGTTGAATCTTTGTTTACAGTTTTAACCCATCTTTACGCCTTTGCATTGTCGGATTATGTCCCGTGGCTAAGGTTCTTGGACTTGGAAGGCCATGAGAAGGTTGTGATTGACGCAATGAGAAATGTAAGCAAGTATAACGATCCTATTGTCGATGAAAGACTCATGCAATGGCGAAATGGAAATATGAAAAAGCCTCAAGATTTTCTTGACATGTTTATAATGGCGAAAGACACTGACGGGAAACCTACTCTGTCGGACGAAGAGATCAAAGCACAAGTGACGGTATGCATATTATTGACAGTTTCATCCTTACATGGCCAATAGTCTCTAGCTTTGATAACACTTGTGGTGCTACAATACTAAATAACTTTTCTATGAATTTAGTACTTAGGATTGGTAAAACTGTAAAAACACCTCTATAACCAGCTAAGTAAACCGGGTTAGTTTAGAACTGATGATTACTTCAAAGATTATGGTAATTGTATTGTAGTGGAGCTTCTTTAGAAAAACTCCAAATATTATAATTTGGAATTCCATGCATTAGAGATGCATTGTCATAAGCAAAAGGTTTAATTTTATTTAACAAGTTCTTTTTTTTATCAGATGACCTCTAACTTTTTTGGTGGTTAATTATGTTGGACTGTGAAGGAACTAATGTTGGCGACGGTGGATAATCCGTCTAATGCGGCGGAATGGGCCATGGCGGAGATGATTAATGAGCCGAGCATCATGCAAAAAGCCGTGGAGGATCGGAGATCGATATGGTAGTTGGAAAAGACCGTTTTGTCCTTGAGTTCGACCTCCCAAATCTCAACTACGTGAAGGCTTGCGTGAAAGAGGCATTCCGGTTACATCCCGTGGCGCCGTTCAACCTCCCTCACATGTCCACTGCCTACGCTGTGGTAGACGGTTACTTCATCCCCAAGGGAAGCCACATGCTAATTAGTCGTATGGGGATTGGGACAAACCCTAACGTGTGGGACAAGCCGCTTAAGTTCGACCCTGAGAGACATTTGGGCAATAACAAAAGTGTGGAACTAAAAGAGCCTGATCTCAATATAATATCGTTTAGTGCTGGACGAAGAGGGTGTATCTGTATGGGTGCGGACATTGGGTCAGCCATGACGTACATGTTGCTGGCTCGGTTGGTTCAAGGGTTCACGTGGTCACCAGTGCCCGGTGAAAGTAAAATTGATCTTTCATTAAGTAAGAGCTTTTTATGGCAAAACCCTTGCACGCGATTGCAACACCTCGTCTGGCTCCACATGTGTATCAGTGTATCCAGCCTTATTGAGAGAGTAAAGATTCTAGAAAAAATGCCCTATTATTCAAACAAAAAAATAAAGAAAAATGCACTATCAAAGGATTGCATGTAATGGTATGTTGTTTTTTTTTCTTTTCTTTTCTGATAAGACATGTAATGTAATGGTATGTTAAATAGTTATTCTAGAAAAAAACTATTACGAATATTATAGATGTAGTTTCGGAATATTCAATTATAATCTTCTAATTTATATTAAACCATAAGCTCGAAAAGGTATTAACGTCTATTTAAAATTTTAACTGATTTGAAAGAGCAGAAATCAAGTACCTACTGGTAAGTCTCGTAGCTAGGATAGATAGCTTTGGGGTGGGCAAGGCAACGGAAAATTCATGCAAAACCATGGCTTGTCGGATTTAAAATTTTGGTTTATTGGTTTATAAATAATTAAATAATTAGAAGGTTTATTGGTTTGTACATAATCCTATAATTTATTGGATTTTAAATAATTGGGAGGTTTATTGGTATAATTGATTTGAAAGAGCAGAAGTCAAGTATACTCGTAAGATTAGCCCTGGGGTAGGCAAGGCAAAAGAAAACTCAAGCAAAATAATGTGTTGGTGGATTTAAAATCTTGTCTTATTTGTTTAATGACTCATAAAAACTAGTTGAAATTTGATGATGTATTTAATGATTTCTAATTAGATTTTTATTTATATATTTTTTATTTCACGATGGGTTTTAACATATTTGAAAGTGTCTATTTGATCAATGTAAAATTTGCTATCCCCTCATCTTCTATGTTTCCTCCTGATCAAAATCCTCTTGTTTTATATAATTACAGTCTTCACTTCATGGTATAGCTGAATTGCTGATATCTCGATCGCTAACATTTCTTGATTCCGTTTTGAATTGTTGACGTCTCTTTTAATTTTTTATATTTTTTTAAGAAACCAAAAAAACATAAATTAGATTTCCACACATTTATGAGTAGTTCAGTACACATATAAGATTTCATTTTACGAAAATCATAAATGTAATCATTAAACATTGAATTTCTTTTTGGCAAACTCGATAAACTCGGCAACGGTAGGCATGTAAGGTTTCACAGCTTCATGGGCCCTGAATTTCTCAGCCCAATGAAGCAGGCCCGGTGTTGTGTCTGGACGCAAAAACTTAACACCTGAAAACGCTTCGATGACAGAGATTGGGCCTGCTATGGCCCCAACAGCTATATCAACAAACCCAATGTTTTCCCCTCCGAAGAAGTCTCCGCCTCTGCTACTCTTTTGAAACGCCTCTTCAAGTGCCGCTAAATTCTCCATCAGATTCCCCGCCAACGCCATCCTCGCGGCGTCGTCTTTGGCTCCCGCCACCGCATCGATCGATTCAAACAGCTGTTCCAATAATCGTTAACATATAGACTATTTATTTAGTAGTAAAAAAAAAATTAAAAATATATGCGAATAAACACTCTCTTAATAAAAGTTTTAGAAAAATTAGCGATTATTTTGGCGGAAGCATGCCAACGTTAATCAAACTACACACTATGTTACAGAGTTTCAATCTCTTAAAATTGACATAATTACACTAATCGTATCATTTTTGTTTCATTTTTCTTTTTCATCAAGCAAAAGAAAGGGATAGTTCATATTTCCATTATTGTCAATAATTGTCCCTCAAAAGTTAAAACTTAAAAAGATATTAAATTCTTATTTCAGGATTCTTCATTCAATTTAAATTCAACATTTATAATAAAATTCCACTAATTAAAATTTATATTTTTAACTCGTTTGTTTACCTTTCCGTCAACGAAGTGAGCCCAAAAACGAGCAAAGGCACGATCGGAGGGAAGTGAAGGGAGGATAGAAAGATCGGACGGCCACGATTCATCCACGTACTGAACGATGTTGAGAGACTCGCAGATTGAGATATCACCATGGATGAGGACAGGGACTTTCTTGTGTATAGGGTTGGATTTAATAAGGAGATCGCTCTTTGCTTTCAAAACATCGGTTTCTTCGATATACTCGTGCTCTACGGACTTAAGGTGTAGAGCCACTTGAGCCCTTAAAGCGAATGGGCTTGCCCATGTCCCTATCAGCTTCACAGTGGTGTTCGAATCATTTTGAGCCATCGTGGTTTTTTTTCTTTTTTTGATTTGTAATGTTTCTCGAGACAAGGAGTTGTCTGATTTCTTGTTTTTTAACATCTGGCTTAAAGAGTTTGTGTTTGTTCTGTTAATTTGATTGAGTTTGGGTGACTATTTATAAAGGAACGATTTGATATATATGTATGTTTCTTCTACCTTTTTCTTTATAGAGCTTCTTTAGCTGACATTTTTGGCGGCTGATATTTTCTTTATTTGTTCTGTATTGTTTATTGTTGTTCAAAGGATTTTATTTTTGACTTTTTTTTCTTACAGCTATTTGATTTTTGACTCTTAAAAATCAAAAGATTTTATTTTCTAAAGATGGGTTGTGGGAAAATAAGATGGTTTCAATTGACCGGCGCTGGACTTAGGAAGAAAATGTTGACTTGTTAGAGTTTTTACAGTTTTTAAGGAAATTAGGTGAACAAAATTTTTGTGAAATAACGATGCAATTTTCTTTTAATGGAGTCATTTGAGACAAATACTCCCAGGTCTTAACATTTTATTTGAAATTATTCATTTTGGTGAAATTTTCTTTTTATGTACTCTCTATTATCTTTCAAATCCTTGTTATTAATTGTTTTTCAAAGTTTATTACTTCCCTATTAAAAACTATATTATTTCGCATATTTTTAATGATTAATCTGTTTAAATATAAGTTTTGTCTACTTTGTATAATAGATATAAAATGTTAATCTACGTTTGTTCATATATATATGAACAGTGGTGGGTCTTAATTTAGTGTTTTTTTATGTCTTGTTGCTATATTTGCCACGTGCGGCAAAAAAATGCGAAAAGGGAATGAAAATCTAGTCGCCATGTTTGAATAAAAATCTATCTATACATCATTCAATTTGCGACCAAGAGACAAAAAAAAGATGAAGACAAAAGCAAACAAATTAACATTAAGATTAACATTAAGATGCTAACTAATCTAATTATTTTGCAGATTTTTGTGTCAAAACTATTCTCGTGACATTTTTTCTATGAAAAGTCTCTAATTATTTTGATTATTTTCATTTTGGCATTTAGCATTAGACCATCTTTATCGGTACATCTGTACCAATGATCTTATGAATAAAAAAAATAGAAATTAATGAAAAATGGGTCAAGAGCATATAGAACAGGTCTCGGACAAGATCTGTTCTTTCGGAGGTCTTGCGCCAGGTGGCGAAAGGTAAGTGGGTAACAATTTTTTAAAAAACCAAAAATATTTTCATATCTCACCCTCTCTCCACCTATCATCATATTCTCTCTATCTTTCTCTCTCTCTTACCTTATTATAATACTATTATAATTATCATAAGATCTATCTTTAAAGATATACCCATAAATATGCCCTTATATATAGCGTTCATGCTTCACTGAAATACAATCTACAAAGGTAATCTCACTAATCAGTATTTTCAGTGCCGCCAGAAAAGGATTTATATTCATATGTATCTTTTTTTTTTCTCTATCAAACTTACTAAATTGGCTCTTTAAGTTTAACAAAAAAATAAAAAAAGTTTACATAAACAGATCATATAATCGTTTCCTTTTTACATAAAGCTTTTTTTTTTCTTTTGTTTTTAAAAAATTGCAACTCGAAAATATCACTCGTCCTAGTACTACTCTCGCCCAACATATTTGGAACTTGTAGAACGATATTCCATTCTTACGTTTTTTCCAGATTGGATTTGGCTTTGCCGATGAACAGTTACTCTGTTAGTAATCTACTCGCAATCTCGTTACCTTTTTGATGTTAGTAATTAGTTTGATCAGGGCCGGGTTGCGCACATACATAAAAGACATCCCCAAAATTTTAGAGGTTTACTTATATTATATAATATTACAGATAATCTTATTTACTGAAAAATAAAATGATGTACGAGACGTTTACTCTTTTGTTTTTTTTTTAATTGTATAATCTGATTTTTGCTATTTTTAACTTACATTATTATTGTAGGACCGTCCCTATCTGAACAATTAATTGTGTGAGTGAACAAGTTTTTTTTTTTTTTTTTTTAAATTTAAACAGTTCAGGTACTACCATAATGTCAATGGTTATGGTGCTATAGATTATCTTCATCATTTGTTCACCATTAGGTTGTTCATTGTGGCGAAGCTTCGCTGCTCAATGGATTTTTTAATATACACGTTTTTACGACCAAATTCATAATCTCATACATTTAATTTTTATTAAAAAACAAAAGAACTTTTTGACTGCATCTTCTAATTAATCGAGAATACATTTTCTTCCTCGATCTCGATTATGTGATCATTCATTCATTTGTCGTCGTATATATATTTTAAAATAATTATTAGTAGTCCTTGGCTTTTTATTTAAAAATTGAAGTATTGAACTTGAGCTTAGCGAACTCGACAAGTTTTTCGATATCGGGCATGACAGGCTTGACTGCTTCATGTGCGTAGAATCTGTCTGCCCAAAGGAAAAGACCTGGTGTGTTTTCGGGATGTATGAACTTGACGCCGGTAAATTTCTCGAGAACCTTAAGAGGACCCAACATCGAGCCGAAACCAATGTCAATGAATCCAATATTTTCTCCTCCAAAGAAGCCTCTTCCTTTGCTGCATTCTTGAAACGTTTCTTCCAATAGAGCCATACACTGCTCTAGCTTAGTTATCGCTGCCTTTCTCTCCTCCTCGTTTTTTGCTACTGCCACTCCATTAATTGATGTGAAACACTACATAAAAGATCAAGAAAGATATAAACTAATTAATTTTAATTTTTTTATGATTCATGCATGTATGGAAGTTACTACAAAATTCTAAGCAGTTGAAAAGACATTAATAAATTAAATGTTTGTGACAAATATAAAACTTAGTCATAATTTCAACTCAAAGCTAGATTATCCATGTTAAATTTTTCATATACAATTTTTTTTTTGAATGAAAGCTATTATCATTTCATTGTTAGAAACAGGTGTGCTAGCTAAACCAAACATATAAACACTATATAAGAGAAAGTTTCTCCATGGATGCATGACTTACGTGTTCATCGATATAGACGTCCCAAAAGCGAGCCACAGCGCGATCAAATGGATCAGAGGGAAGGATGGGAGGACCGGAGAGCCAAGTCTCATCAACATACATGACGATGTTGAGGGATTCACGGATTGGTTTGTTGCCATGGATGAGGATTGGGATCTGTTTATGGACGGGGTTATAGTTTAAAACGCTCTCCGAATTCAATGTATCTTCTTCTTCTAGATACTCGTAAGCTACGTTCTTTAGGTTAAGTGCGATCCGAGTCCTCAGCACAAAAGGGCTAGGCCATGCTCCTAATAGCTTTACGTACTCATCATTCTTTGAACCATTCATTAGACCCATGTGTTACACTTTTTGACGAGATTGATCAAACTCACAGCTCTTGTTTTTGTGTGCGTGTGTGTTTTTTTTTTTGTGGGATAGGAATTGAACAGCTGTGGTTTGATGAGGTTTAGTCTCTATGTTTGGCGTCTATATATAAATGAACGTGCTCAAATTCGTTTATCCTTTCTTAGATTACGGTATGCATGACGGTCAAAAAAAGCTTCGGTACGCATGTGCTTATGATAATAAAAATACACAAAATAAATGAATATTAAATAATAATTAATTAAATAAGAAAATGTTTTTTTTCTTAATTGGGGTCGGTAGGAGATTCAAAGAGACGAGAGAGTCCAGGAAAGTGTGTTGGGTCCTGATTAGTTGCCTGATCTGTACCGTTGCTTAATAGTGGGACACAATAGTACCATTCACTGTCACAGTTATTGGATTCATACTTTGAAAACTACCATATTTATGGGTTTTAGTTTGAAAAATATTATTTTTCTATTTTAAATAAAGACTACATTTTTATATATGTAATCTGACATTTTTTCCTGCTTTAAATTAGAATCTATATTTTTAATAAATCAAACTAAATCCAAAATTCGGAGATAAAGATATACTAAATTAGTAAAAAAATATGAATTATTATTATACATTTTATTTTATTTTAAGAGAAAGATGGTTTATTGATTTTTATACTAAAATTAATAAGATAATATCCAAAAATATTAAAGTTTCTAGTTTAATATTTATCATGTTATAAAAAGCAAAAAATATCCAAAACTCCAAACATATGAACTCAATATAGTCTACATCTCTGAAAAAAATTTGCAAGTAAATGTTTAAACCACATACTTAGTAGAAGCCCCTTTGGCCCATTGGTTGACTAAGGGTTAATTAATGATTCTACACTAAGAGATCTGGGGTTCGAGTCCCAGATATTGCGATTTATTAATAAATTTGCAGATTAAAGGAGGCAAGTGTGCAGGAGATCTCCAGCGAAATACAATTATAGCCGTTCGCCAGGATTCTACGCATAGAGAGAAGTGTCGTCAGGTCGTGGATCATTGAAGGTGTCCGTCAAGAGCATGGAGAAAGAAGTGTCGTCTGTCGTGGATCTAATAAGGGTCGGAAGGAATTGTCCGTTGTAGAATTGTTTATGTAACAGTTCTCATAATTTGCAATAAATAATAAATCTAGACGTCAAAAAAAAAAAAACCACATACCTAATTAGGACAAGTTCGGGTAACTTTTCATGTGATATAATATTCATTTTTAAATAATAGAATATTTAATATTAATTTTCTTAGAAATATTTAGGATAACAAATCCTTAAACGATACTAATATAACAATTTTAAAAAATTCAAAATTTATTTATTATTAAAAATCGTTTTATATTTAAAAATTGATTTTAAATTTGAAAATCTAATTTTTTCGTAATTATTATTATGTTTTAGTAAAAAATAATTTGGTGATTAAGTTATAGTAAAGTTAATTAAGTAATCTCTACAATAATTATTTGAGAAGTAGAAACGCACCATATTGAAAGTTAGGGCATTGGAGGCCTGTGGTTAAAAGTTGGAATGATTTGTCCTAAACACCCTTAATGAATTGTTCTTCTCGAAATTTCTTCTTCTTCGTAATTAGGGGTATATAAGTCTAATCGTGTGTTGATCTCTATACTAATGTCCTAAACACCCTCGATTTCGAAATTTTTTGATCTTAATTGTTAAGGGTATATAAGTCTAATCGTGTTTTGAGATGATTAGTCTTAATCACCCTTAATGAATACACTATCAAATCCAGTTTTCTATTTTTTGGTGAGGGTAAAACAATAAAATCGTGTGAATTTTATTAAAATATAGAATATTTCGTTTTTTAATATTAAAATATAGAATATTTCGTTTTTTAATATTAAAATATGGAATATTTCGTTTTTTAATTTTTATAAAAAGTTAAGATAGATATTAAAATATCTTACGAATATTTGTATCAAGAAATTTTCCAATTTTAAAAAATAAATTTTTAGAGATAATTATGACAGTGTGCCCTAGATTTTAAGCTATAAATATAGAGCCGCAGCCACACCATTAGAACTCAGATTCGTTAGCCTAAACATATCGTTTTGATATTATAGCTTTTTTTTTTGTTGCTTTGGTTCTTTTATGGATCGATTTTTTTATTTTGCGTTATTATTTTTTACTTTTTCTTGAGGTTATATTTGTATTGTTATTATCTTGGTCTATGAATTATTAAGATTGTTATTGTTTTGCTGATTTGTATCGTGTGAATTATGTTTTAGGTAACCGCTCATGGGAGTTTCTATCAAGAGATTGAATGAACGAGTTGATGAAGACATGCCTCTTCATTAAATTCATTAACAAACTTTTTACATCAATCGTGAGTCCTCTTTAATTTTAGTTAGCGCTTCTCTTATGTCTCTTTTTAAATTACTTACAATTTTATAATTTGTGTTGGTTTAATTATTGATAGTTGTCTCTCATCAGATCTGATGTAAAATAATTTTTTACCATGCACTACATAACGAAATATTTTTTTTTTGTCAACGTTACTCATAGTTTTTGTGTTTTTGAAGGCGGAGCATTGCGCTGATGCGGAAGTGATTTACAAGTTTTTGGAGGTCAATGAGATTGATAAGGTATATTATAATCGACTATGTTTTAGATTTTTTTTGTTTTTTCTTTTTATTTTGTATATTGGTTGTTGATTATTTTCTTTGATTATTTGTGTGATTGAGACCTTTTTTTTTATATAGAATATTTGTTATTCGTAGAAATAATTATGTCGTGTTATTATATGAAAGATTTGATAAATTATTGGAACTATGTTGGTCAAGGTTCTCGAAGAACTCATCTCTACGTTTAAATCGATCTGATATAAACATGTATTTTTGTATATTAATATTTCTTAATTTTATGAGTTTTTTTATTATTAGATGACTACGAGAAGGTAATCTCTAATCTACTATTTTTATTTGTATTTTGTTATGAATTATTTATATGCTTTCTTTTGTTTTTTAGAAACTCTAACATTAATTTGCTTTCTAAAACATATTGAGTCTATTTTGAAGCTCGGGAAAAACAGAGTTCTCTAAAACGATATCTGTCGAGATTGCATAGGTATGTCTATCGTGATGAAATTGTTAAATAGATACTGGGCTTCTAAGAAATTCTATCACTTTGAATCCTTGTAATCGTGAGAGAAAAGTTTAGGGTTTGATTGTTTCAGTTTTGATTAGTGAATTGAAAGATGCCGCAATTTCCACATATGATTTTTACGTTCAATCATAATTTGGATGTGTGGAAATTAATACTTGAATCGATGGAGAGAAGATTACAACTGACGTGTGAGTTAATTTGTGTATTTTATGGTACATGTTTTCGTCATGGATCAAAAAGTTCAATCCCATCTTTATAGGAGTTAGGCTTTCATCTAACCTCTTTTATATTTGATAGATTGTTTGTTGTGTTATTTTTTTAATTTTAGATTCAAATATATATTTTTTAATTTCAGTTTTAGGCGACTAAAGGATTGAATATGCTATGAATATGTAATTTTATATTCTTTTGTTTATTTAATTGCCATTAACCTATTTTGACTTTAATTTATATGTTTTATTATGAGAGATAGGAAAAATAGCTATCCTATTTTGACTTTAATTTATATGTTTTATTATGAGAGATAGGAAAAATAGCTGATCAGTGATTTTTGGTTGTCGGAGACTGATCCGAATGAGCGACGGTGATGAAAATATGAGTGGTGGATAGAGACGCAAGGGATCGGTGAAGTTGTTTAATACACACAAGGGGTTTGGTTTCATCACACCAGACGACGGTGGTGAGTGGTGACGATCTCTTCGTTCACCAGTCCATTAGCTCTGAAAAATTTCGTAGCCTTGCCGTTGATGAAGCTGTTGAGTTCAAGGTTGAGGTTGACAACGCCAGTCGTCTGAAGACTGTTGAAGTTTCTGGACCCGAGGGTGCTCCTGTTCAGTGAAATAACGGCGGTTCATCTGGTGGATGTGGTGGTTTTGGCTGTGGAGGTGAGGACGTGATGGTGGAAATTATTAAGGAGGATATGGTGGTGATGGTACTTGCTTTAGGTGTAGTGAACCAAGTTATATGGCGAGAGATTGTTCTCAAGGTGGTGGAGGATACAGTGGTGGTGGAGGTGGTTGAAGGTACGGTATGTTGTAGGTGGAGGTGGTGGTACTTGCTTTAGTGGTTTTATTTGTTTCGTTTAATTTTGTACCAATCTTATCATTTGTATTAAGGATTTTATAACTAGAGACGTAGGTACATATGACAAATGTGAATGTTTTTATTTATGAATTATAAAACATGTTGTGTTATATGTCATTTAGCTTATATAATATTTAAAACGTTTGTGGATATCTAAGAAGTGAAATTATTGGGGCCGGAGTTATTTGACGAACACATCAATTGGATTTAAAAAATCTTTTAACAATATGCTATGTGTCATTATTTCATCTCATAAGTGATATTTCATTAAACTTTAATCTGTTATATAATTTATGAAATTTTTTAGATTAAATCTATTGGATACGATATCTATGATTCTTACACAAAAGATCAAAGTTTACAAAAAAATCTTTAACAAAATCTCTATAAATTTTGACTTCGATTTTATTTTGCGAGAATATAAGGATAAAATTGTACAAATTTGATAAAGACTTTAAAATTTTTAAATAATGATGTGAATATTTTTATCTCGAAATTGTTTAATTAAGAAAGTTAAAATTCGTAAATATTGAAGATAATGTCTTATGAATCAAGGATATAATCCGTCAAGGTACTAATATTTAAATAATTATATTATGATTATAATTTTTCCACCATGTATTTTATAATTTGAAATATATTTTTGTTTTGAATTAAAATTAAAAAATTAAAATCTATAAGGGTAGTTTCAGAAAAGGATGAAAATAAAAAAAGACACAAAGTTCTTTTATTCTTAAATATATTGACATGTGATTTTCATCCCACATACTATTTTTAAATTATGTGTTTATTATATACATATAGACACTTATATGATTAATTAAAGATTTGCTCTCTATAGTAGTATTTAATTAGATATTTTTTAAAATTGTTCATATAACTTTCTCTTTGC